AGGATCAACTTCATGTCCAGGATGGCAATGGACAATTGCCCCGCTCTGGAAAAAGCGCAGCCAACATTTCTACGAATGGCAGCTCACCTGACGTGTCTGTATCGGAAACCGGCACGGGTCTAGAGAAACCCGGATACAAACTCGTTGGAGAAACGAACGCGGACATAACGGGTACGGATACATCTATCCTAAGTGCATCGCTTGCTCAGTGTCGTGCAACCCAGGTGAACGAGGCACGGTTCGATAATCTCACCCCGGTCACCAACGCAGAGTCGTCGCCGCCTCGCAAGTTGAGTCCTCATCAATCCAAGTCCGTTGAAGTGGCCGAATACGAATCGAACAAGTTTGCAACCGATGAATTGAAACTTACTGCTACGCCCCTACATACACCGCCAACTCCACGGTCGCAAACCTCGCGCAGTGGTGTAATCAAGGGTTGTAAGTTGATTTACGACCCCGATCTTGAGAAAAGATCATCGAAGGAAAAGAAAAGAAAGCCACAATATGTGGACTTTGTGGTGAATGAACAAGACAGCTGTTCACCAGACCCGCGTCGGAGCATTCTGAATTACACTCGAGGTGCTGGCTGTAAGCAGAAGACGAAATACCGACCGGCTCCTTATAGACTGAAACAGTGGCCATATGATACTGCGACTACTATCGGTCCTGGACCCCCGGTCCAAATAGTGGTCACTGGCTTCGATCCCCTGACCCCAGTTGCTCCGATAAACGCGCTTTTTTCAAGCTTCGGTGAGATTTCAGAGATAAATAACCGCACAGACCCTATTACAGGTCGATTTCTTGGAGTATGTTCAGTCAAGTACAAAGACAGCACCTCTTTTCGAGGTGCCGGGCCAATGCCTGCGGCGACTGCGGCCAGACGAGCCTACATAGAATGCAAGAAGGAGCAACGGATTGGGACACGAAGGATCAGGGTTGAACTAGATCGAGATGGTGCTGTCTCGGACAGAATTGTTGCAAGGGCCATCGAGTCTCAGCGAATGGGACAGAGGAAGAATACAGTCGGAGAAGAGGCAAAAATTGAGCCTCAAGCAAAAAAGAATGAACCACCGCCGACAGCGCCCAAAGGCCCTTCAAGATCTTCCACGCGTCCGGTAGCCGCTGTGCCCGAAGGTCCAAGAGCGAGCTTTGTCAAGCCCGCCATGCCCTCTCTGATAGAGGAAACACCCATATTAGGGCAAATCAAGCGGGATCCATACATCTTCATTGCACACTGCTACGTTCCTGTTTTGAGCACAACGATTCCGCATCTGAAGAAAAGACTCAAATTATTCGACTGGAAAGACATTCGATGCGATAAAACTGGGTACTATATCATCTTCGAGAATTCTAGGCGCGGTGAGGAGGAAACCGAGCGTTGTTTCAAAGTATGCCATATGAAGCCTCTGTTTACTTACATTATGAATATGGAAAGCCAGCCTTATGGAAATCCCAACTATGAGCGAAGTCCGAGCCCAGAACGACTCCAGGCAGAGCGCCGGGAACGGGCAGAGAGAGAGAGGCTGAAAAAAGAGGCGGATTTGGATCTCGAGGAAGAAAAGAGACAGCGAGCGATTGATTTGGACCCATGCAGGGAAGTCCTGGCTCTCATCGTCCGCGATTTGAAAGATAAGCTTCTTGAGGATGTGAAATCACGCATCGCCGCCCCAACATTATATGACTATCTCGACCCTGACAGACATGCGTCAAAGAGGCGAGCTCTGGGCATTCCTGATCCTGAGGGGATCAGAAGACATACTTTTCAACTTGATGTTGATACTTTTGGATCTAACAATTCACAGGCTTCCCTACCAGGCGGCCGTTCATTCAACCCGTATGGCCTTAACATACTTGCGCTCCCTCGCATCAGAAAAGCTCGTCGTTTGAACCGTGCCGATGCTGCCTTCTTAGATGAGAGGCGTAAGCAGCCTGTTCGAAGAAAAGAAGTACGACCTCTCTACCACAGACTGCAGCAGTTGCATGATGTCGACGACTCTGATGAGGACCAACGTACTCCATTCTCGAGGGATATTGATGAACAGGACAGTCGTCCACCGAGTCGGATGAGTTCCAGATCTTCAATTTCCGATGACGGCGAGGAGTCAGAACCCTTGGATGGACTAGCTTCCCAAGACAAAAGCCATGAAGCGCGCCTCCTAGGCTTGGAATATGGAGATAGCGGTACCGTCCTTAACGAAACAGTCGACGGGTATTCTCGGCATCGTTCGCCGGGTCTCTCCTCTACACGCAAAAGGAAAAGGGCCGCGGAAGGCATTGAAGTGCGTAAACGACCTAAGGAGGAAAGCGAGCGATCAGAGTTGAACCGCTTTGTGGAGACTGAAAATACGCTGTTCAACGAGGCGTCTCAGCACTCAGAAGCTGCTGATCTTGGCGCTGTGAAGCTGGAAAACCTCGCTGGCATCGAGGGTAAATTCCTGGGTCGATTGGAAGACAGGTCGATCAAGGAGGACGGTGAGAAAGAGAATGTGGAAAGGCTTCAGATCAAGTCCGTCATACAAGGAGCAAATCTCGACGTTCAGCCACCGTTACCTGACGAATCCACTATTGCAAAGAGCCATGAAGGCCCGATTACAGAGATCGAATGGGGGGTGTCTAATGATGAACCTCGTCCGACAGTTGATGATGATGAGACCATAATCTTGGATTTGGACGGCTGGCAGAATCTCGTCAAGGATGAGGAGGATCTCTGCTTCCTTCGCCATGTCCTGGACGGGCAGTCGAGATCCAAGGTTGGAAATCTATCGGCATGGGCATGGAGACAGAAAGAGATTAAAGCTCTCAACCGTCCGGGTGAACGTGGGCCTGTCCATCAAGAGACTAGAATACCAGATTACTACGTTTGCAACCTCACTGGAGCTGCTCGGACTGAAGGAAGAAAGAGAATCTTGGAGTCGGAAAAGTCAAAATACCTGCCTCACCGTATCAAAGTTCAGAAGGCCCGAGAAGAACGGGAGGCCAACGCAAAGAGCGACCCTCATGCTTCTGCTGCAGAGGCTGCTAGGATCTCCGCGGCGAAGACGATATCTAAGTCCACTTCGAGATCGACAAGGGTCAATAATCGCAGGCTGGTTGCAGACATCAATGCACAAAAACAGGCTCTCCCTATGCAAGGTGGAGATAGTGATGTTCTCCGTTTCAACCAGTTGAAGAAACGAAAGAAGCCAGTGCGCTTTGCTCGGTCAGCCATTCACAATTGGGGTCTCTACGCGGAAGAGAACATATCAGCGAATGATATGATCATAGAGTATGTTGGTGAGAAGGTGCGGCAGCAGGTAGCAGACATGAGAGAGAGGCAGTACTTGAAGAGCGGGATTGGTAGCAGCTACCTTTTCCGAATCGACGAGAATACTGTTATAGATGCCACCAAGCGAGGGGGTATCGCTCGCTTCATCAACCATAGCTGTACTCCTAATTGCACTGCCAAGATCATCAAGGTTGATGGTAGCAAGAGAATTGTTATATATGCTCTCAGGGACATTGGAAGAGGTAATTCTGACAGACAAGCCAACCGACTCTACTTTCGGACATAAGCTAACATGTACGCAGATGAAGAGCTGACCTACGACTACAAATTCGAACGGGAATGGGACAGTGATGACAGAATTCCCTGCCTCTGCGGTTCGACTGGTTGCAAGGGGTTTCTCAATTAAGGCCACCTGGGATACCTCGCAGTTGACTTGGACACTGCACTCTTTATGAAGTGCAAAAATGGCAAGAATAAAAGCCTTCCGAGTTTCAAGTTCTTTCGTCTATTGCGCCGCCCTTAGATTCGCCTGGATTCTTGCTCACTCTGCCGTGGTTTCATAGACTGATTGAGTTGGCTCCAAACTTTCGCATTACGATGTTCTGTTCAGCTTTGAGCAGGTATTCATGTATTATTGGCTTCTTTTGGTGCCCCTGGGGCACCGATATCTAGCTCGTGGCGACTCGGAAGGAATCACACATGCCTTGTACAATAAATTTTAAATCACTCAGTTACTCACGATGGGAATATGAGAAATACTGCAATGATATATTCCACAGTGTTAAGTTAATGCATGTTGTTATGGAAGTATGTCATACGACCAGGCAGCTTTAGATGAGCTGATCATCCTGGTCTCGGTTCTTCTGAGCAATACATGAAAGCTCAAGCTGCAGAAAACTTGAGATGACAAACCCCATGCAGTAAGGTTTCAGACTATTAAATGGGCCGTTAGCAAGCGATCACATAGGATGAGCTCAGGGAATCCCAGACCCAAGTGACTTGGCAGAAGGAAGTTCGCAATTCCCTCTTTGATCATATATTCATGACCGCAATTCCCGCACACCAACTTTCCCTCGATAACATGTGTCTCGAGTAGCAACCGATGCAGATCCTTCAATGTCTGCTCGTCATTCAGGGCTTCCCCTTCGGGCTTCCTCTCGGGAAGATTGGAGAATCCAAGCTTGGGAATGTCAGGGACTACACATGCCAGCGAGACCAGGAGACGTTCAACCTTACCTCATTCGCAGTCACCCGTAGTCCATCCCAGTCAATGCGAGGAATAATATTGCGTATGAATTCTGGTTGGAAGTCAAGCTCCTCAAGTTCAAGCTCAGCGTCATGAAAGTGGAGGGGAAATGACGCTGACGACGTCTTGCATCCCTTGACAGCGCAAGTTAAAAAATTTGCAGTCACTAACTTCATTGTGTTTGTATCACAGAGTGATATGACGCTGCAGTGAAATTTAAGTGAAGGCCTCTGATAAGATAAGGGATATAGTCACAAATCTCAGACCCTGCGGAAAGTGAAGTGGGTGTGGTAAGCAATTTTATTTCCCTTTTTATTTTTTTATTTTTTTAAACTTCTTTTTGGCTTGTTTTGTGTTCACTACAACATATAAGATGAAAAGAAGCTTTTAGCACTGGCTAGTCTTTTGGTATGTCCTATCCCATTCCTACCTATTGCAGTCACCACTGTCCGCATGCTCTGGAATGTTGGAAGAGATCACCAGCTTCATTCACTTGATTAAAACATCTACCAAATCATCATCTGTTATGTCATAGTCCGTAAAAGATGCATTAGGGTTCAGGCGATCACCATCAAACACCAGATGAATCTTTCGCTCTGAAGGTATGCGCTCTGCGAGCCGGAATGCAGTAATAGCCTGAGAAATAGGCCCATTCGAAGCAACACTTGTTTCGAACTTATCAAACCCTGGGCACTTCAATACAAGCCTGACCAAAGGTTTCTGATCCGACCCCTCGTTCAGTTTCGATTGCGAACCAAGTACAGGCGAAAGTCGTTGAGTATCCGGGCCAACAAGCTTGTCTGTTACAGCCTCCATATGGATACGCAAGGGTTTCCCATCCACTTGTGGATACTTGTCAATATCCTCATCGCCATTTGAGGTTTCGCTAATATCAAGTCCGAGACTTCTGCACGTTGTGACGTCAAATAATCTCCTGCCCTTCCAAGTCAGGTATATAGACGCCTGCAGTGTTGTTGATAGATTTTGACGATTGCACCAAGCTAGACGAACGTCCCTCAAGGATTGTGACATTTTTCTATGAATTATGAGCGGCTTTGTACCATCGATCGGTGAGGTAATCAGGATTTGCACAGTAACATCTTCACTTCTGGGGCCAGAATATTGAGAAATGCCAGCGCTTGGGGCCTTCTTCTGGCATCGTGCTTCCCTCGGATGATCCGGACGCTCGTTAGCACTCATGCTCTTGCTCTCTCTTTCCATTTCAGACTGAGAAGTGTCATTAAAATTCATTTTGCAGCGCTGGGCTGGTGCGAGTAAGGTAAATTCGGAGTCACGATTCTGATGCACATTTCCGCTTATGTCTAGACCACCCGAATATGTCGTTGCCGGTCTCTGTAGTCCGCTGTCCATGCTTTCCTCCGCCAGAGTGTCGCAGGGAGGTGTCAACTTCGAAGGTGCACACTCTTGTTGACTCTTCGATAAAATATTGTGCTTGAAACCACCGTCAAGGCCTAATGGCGTGCTTTCCTCCAAGCTCCCATCATCCAGCACATGACGGCGTTTTCTTGCCCTGCCATCTTCAGCTACGGGCTTGTTGCTGCAGACAGATCTCTCCCGAGCCTCCCTGTTCGTTGTGATGATATCGCCGTAGATTTGTCCAGCACGACGGTAGAAGTCAGACTTCACTGGCTCGTCTCCTTTGCTTGCCCATGAAGGCCTCTTGAAGAATGACCTCATCAGGCCAGTCAGTTCGCTCGTCGGCTATGTTGCATGGATAACTGAGGTGTTGGTTGGTTTGCTTGTTGGAATGATCAGGTTACACTATGCAAATCGGACCTGATTTGTGGATAGTGCCACACATTGGAATCAGATTACCAACCCAACTAGAATGTTTTAGCACATTAGTGTTCATTAAAAGGAAATGATGCACATAAGAAGGATGGTAATTCTCTCCTATGATCAGTTATTGTTTATCTTTCTCTATGTTCTTATCTTAGTTTTTGGTTCTGACTACTTTGGCTCACCCAGTTCATATTTAGAATGTAATTATTTTGTGCAATGGCCACTAGTGATTTTAATAGGGACTATATAATGTGTATGGTGGGGGGGAATCCACCACGTGTTAGCATTATCAAAGAGCATTTAATGCTTAAATCATTATCAGGTAAGAACTCCACCTATTTGTTTCCAGCTGCTTCCTTTCTACAGCTCTGGCATAAGCAATTAATGAAGCCTCTTAAGTCCAACAGCTAGCTATAAATTATCATTCCTTCTACTTCTATCCTTTCCTCTACCCTATCAACTATTGGCATACTGGTGTTTACTGAGTTATGGAGAACGGTGCTTCATCTGAAGGAAGGGATCCATCTACCTTCCTTGGTGAAATAATTGGTGCTCCAGTTACAGTAAAGCTAAATTCAGGTGTTGTCTACAGAGGTTTCTATACCATCTCCATTCTTTACATAACTATATTTGTGCTGATAAACCCCATAGGCGAGCTCCAATCTGTAGATGGTTATATGAATATTGCCCTGGAGAGATCTGAGGAATTTGTGGATGGCAAATTAAGGCGAAGTTATGGCGATGCTTTCATTCGGGGAAACAATGGTCTGTCTCATTCTCATGTTTTCAGTCATCTTTCAGCTCTTTGTCTGTACTAATGAATGTAGTGCTTTATATTTCAGCACAATGATCCTCCATTGCCAATTTCCTAATCTCTTATTCGCATGGCTTACTCTCCATATCTGCTGTCTATTAATGCAGCCAATGCATTAATTAAACCTTCCACCTAGTTACAGAGTTGCCTTATAGGGAAACCTTGCCAGTATGACAGAGTGCTAGCTCAATGTAAGCCTATTTTCCCATATAAAATAATGTATATTAAATATAAACATCTGAACACTGTTGTGTTGCCACAATCATGTGTTATAGTCTTGCTTATCTAGACTTCTATAGCTTTAGCTTAGTAAAGAATCATCTTCTCCTTGATATATGGCATTGCCTTGTAAGACCATACTAAATAGTAGTATATCCTTGGTTCTCTAAGGAATGATTCAGGCTAATCTAATTAATTAATTATACTTTTTAATTCTAATTTTATTAATAAATAATGCTGCAGTAGTTTTACCTACATCTATTAACTTTCTTCTACTTAACTAGAAATCTATATTAAGCTATCTCATCACTTTCCTAAAAGGGAAGTTAATAATTCTGTAACTAGGACCTTAGTTATACTATAATTAATAATCTTATACTTATTCTTTAAATATCTATAAATAATATATATTAACCTCTTAATAAAACTAGTTACATTTTATTAACTCTCTCTACTCTTATTATATTTTAAGCTTTCCTCTATTAAATTATTTAAGTACTATTATTCTTTATACTTTTAAAAGTAATATAAAGTTTATTTAGTTATTAGCTTACTTAATTCTATATTATTTTCTACTATCTCTACTCTTATACTTATTATTAATTATTAATATATTTATCTATATAATTAAATAGATTATTAATATATTAGCTAAAAATTCTACTTCTATAATTAATAAGATTAATAGATAGCTTATTTCTCTTATTACTTAGCTTTAGTCCTTTAAAGAGATAGGGTATAGTTTTATAAAGGACCTTAATCTATATATAATTACTTAAGTAATCTTCCTCCTTTAATATAAGGAATACCCTAAAGATATAGAATTTCTAAATAACTAGATATATATATAAGTAATAGTTAGGGCTACTATAAAATAATTTCTAAGGCTCTTAGATTTTCTCTAGAATAATTAATAATATCTTATCTTTTATATAAACTACTTAAAAAATAGTAACTAAGTGGTAAAAAACCCTTTAGGTAGACTAAGGAACTTTATTTTACTAATATTAAAATATCTTATATTTTATAAGAAGGATATTCTCTTTACTATATCTAAGCTAGAAAAGTAGAAGAATAGGGAGATTAATAATAAAGTAGAAGATTAGTCTAATTTTACTATATCTCTAGGCTTTAAAGCTTAAGTAAGTTAGCTAATCTTAAGTTCTTTATTTATTTATTATAGGTTAAATATTAAACTATTATTATCTAAAAAACTAGATAATTTATCTATCCTTAACTCACTATCTTCTCTAAGATCTTTAGAATTTCTATATAGTGTAATTGGGATATTCATAGTTATTAAGGATGTGGAGTCTTTGAAGAGTGTAAGGGTAGGGGGTAGGCTAGTAGCTGCCCTATATATACCTTATTAACTTTAAGGGATTCTAGTCTTCTTTTATATTTTAACCTAAGCTATAAAGGAATGTAAGGTCTAACTAACTATATAAATAATAATAATAATTACTAGATATTATTATATATTTAATGGACTTTCCTAAAGTTATATATATACTAGTTAATATCATATCCTCCCCTGCTTAGATTAAACTTTATCTATAGAGTTCTTAGTTAGCTATCCTTATAGGAAATTTATTAGTACCTAATAAAGTAACTATATAGATATAACTATTACTAAGATATATTAATTTCTAGATCTAGTATTAGATATTATTATTTCTTTATTAATAATCTATAGAATTAACTAAATTATTCTTTATACTATTATTCTAAAATTATTATAGTGATGGCTAAGTATATTCTTTATTTAATATATAAAAGAGATAATTAGATTATCTTACTTAATAATATTAATAAGTAAGTTATCTAAGTAATTAGTAATTTTTAAATAGTATATAAAGAATTATAATAAATATTATTATTTATATATATAAGTAATTAATTAAATTAATAAAGATAGAATTAACTAATAAGTATAGATAAATAAGTAAGTATTTACTACTAGTATATATAGCTTAGGTATAAATACTTCTAAATTTTTATACTTTACTATATATAATCTTTTATAGTAAGCCTTAATAATCTATCCCTTAACTAAACTTTTTATATTATAAATTTTAGAGTAGTTATAGTCTCTTTCTCTTGTGTTTGCCCAGAGGAGGGCTGCCAGCACGTGGCCCCCAGCAGCTACAGCTGGTAGCCCACCCACGCCCCCAAGGGCCCCAAGGGCCCCTGCCCCTGAATCTGAACCAGACAAAGCCGAACCCGAACCCAGCCTAGGGGCTGAAACTAATACTAGAACTAAAGCTAGAGTCACCCCAGGCCCCTAAGCCAACTAAACCATCCAAATACTGCAGTATAATGTTCAGAATTTACTAGATATTAGTATAGCCCCCCTCCTTTAGGACCCCTGGCTCTGTAATTATGCAGTCATTGCCATCTAGGAGCCCTGGGTTAATACTTATAGAGATGGCCCTCTAATGTACTTCCCTTAAGAAGCTGCTAACCACTTCTATATTATCTAGCTAGCTATGGGGCAGAGGTAGGGGTTAGGCTAAGGGGCCCCCTAGATCTATATATATATATAGAAGGCCCTGCGCTAGCAGGTCATCTTTATCTCTATATATATTATCTCCACTACTATCTAGCTAGTACTAGGTAAGCTATAGATAGTGGTCCATAATATCTATAACCTACTATAGTCAGCAGTAAATAAGGGGGTGGTGGACCTTATCCAGGCCCTAGAGGCTATAAATTAGTAGTAGCAGGCCTCTAGGGAGATAGTAGAGTATATAGTAGTTAGTAATTTTAATATCTATAATAGCCTCTAGGTAGATAAGGCATACTAGCTTCCTTAGGCTTAGTATAATAGCCCCTACATAGAGGCCCTAAAGTAAATTATAGAGTAATAGCTACTAGAGCTAGTTATCTTAGTTAGCCTTATTATCTAGTCTACCCCTATCTCCGCGTGGGCCACTAATAAGCTAGGTGAAATAAATAATAATATAGGCCTAGGGGCCCTTTCTATAGAGAAGAGGATTACTAGATTAATAATTAACCTAATCTTTATCTCCTAGGGGCTTATAGACTATATCTACTAAGTTTAGGAAGCTAATCTAGATAGTAATTTAGATTATCTTTCTATTAAAACTAAGCTAGATACTATCTTTAAGCCTAAACTACCTAGATAATAATAAAACTAGGCTATTATAGACTACTAGAAGCTAGCTATAGCTCTTACTATATACCTATTCTTATTACTCCCTGCTAAAGCAACCTAGGGAGATATTAACTAATTTATAAGGAAGCTAGTTAATATACTTACTACTATAATTAATACTATAGTATCCTAGCTCTGCCCTTCTTAGTACTTCTACCCTAGCTTTACCTTAGAGTGCCAGGCCCTGCTATAAAAGAAGAAGTATATCTAGTAGATTATCTCTAATTATTAGAGTAAGTATTACTATAAGGCCTCTCTACTCCTATAAATTTAGTTAGCTTAGGCTACTTAGGTATATAAGTAGGCTATATAGTAATACTAATATAATATCTTTTAGTAGTAGATTACTAATATTATAGATATAGATAATATCTAGTATACTATCTACTAGATAAAGAATTAGGGACTCTACTAGGCTTATATCCTCCTACTTTAGAATCTCTATACTAACTTAGTAGCTTATAGGGCCTAGAAGAAAGCTAATCTTCTAGTCTACTAGTTCTTTCTACCACCCCTATAAGCTAATCTAGATAACCTCTAGGGATATAACTATCCTAAGCTAATTAATATACTAGAATTTAGGAAGTATAAGGTGCTCTATATCCTCTACTCTATTAAACTAGATAAGGCCCCTAGCCTAGATAGAATTACTAACTAGATACTACAGGCTATTAGTTATATACT